TGGGGCGACCTACCAAAACGGCGTCCTGAAGGTCATGCAACAGACCTCGCCCGCGATGCTGGTCCTCGAAAACGTCATGGGCCTCACCGAGCGCCCACGACCTCAAGGGCCTCAGGACCGGACGACGCCAGCAGAGCCTTCCGCCGTGGAGGTGGCAGCATGGGTACGCATATACGTAGAATTGTACGTACGTAGTACGTAACGTACGTAATTACGTATGCATGTGCTGTCGTGTGCAACATTTTGCTCTATGCCTGTGCGGTCGGTGCAAGGGTGTGCAGTGTACGTACGTATACGTACGTAGACTCAGCGACGTGTGTGACGTAGGCTGCAACGTCTGCTTCACAGTACGTAGGTACGTACGTATACTCACAGGTGATGGCAGAGGACATGAAGCACCTGGGCTATGTCTTCCAACACAACATGTTGGACACCAGCGACTTCCTGCTGCCCCAACGGCGCACCCGGCTGTACGCGACAGCCGACGTGGACGGCGGGCAGAGCGCTGCAGACTTCTCCGATGGGATGGCCAGAACCCTTGAGGCTCTGACCTCCTCCCTGTCCCTGGCTCCGCACATCTTTGATTCATCTTTGCCACCTCAGGGCCTGAGCGAGACTCATCAACGCGTTGTTGACAGAGCGCTCAGCAGTGCTCTCCTTCAAGGAAGCACGGATGACATCTTTGTGGATGTCCAAACGAGCCAGGACAGGGAGCCGGAATTCGCAAGAGGCATAACGACTTGCATCCGGCCCTCGCACGGCATCTTTAGCACACGCCTCCAACGCCTGCTCACCACGCGTGAGCTCTGGCTCTGCCAAGGGTTATTCCCACACGATTTTCACAACCCAGATGCCGTGCAGCAGCTGCTCATTCACAAAAGCAGGGCGCAGGACTTGGCAGGCAATGCCATGTCCAGCACATGTGTGCAGGCACATGTGCTCGCGACCCTGGTGCACGCCCGAGCCTGGCACATGGTAGGTGCTGCCAATAACCCGCAGCCGACCCAGGCACAGCAGGAGACCCCTGCCAAGCGGCCAAGGCTCGCAGATGAGCGCCCTCGCGCCCAAGCCAGTGCCCAAGCCAACCCCGACGGCCCACCGGATGCACGGCCTCAAGCTCCCGCAAGCCGCATCCGTGGAAAGCGACCCTACCCTGATGTTGCCGCCAGCAATAATGCTCGGCCTCAGCTTCGCCGAATCCGTGGGAAGCAGTCCCTCCGTGCCACGAAGAGATCGAAGCGCAAATACAACACTGCGGGGCGCAAGCTCAACCGGCCGGGAAAGAAGAGCCCCCTGAGCATTGCGCGCAAGATTGAGATTTTGGACGAAGCTTGTGGCAGCCTTTGCATTCTTTTCATACGATATACGTACGTAATATATGTGTACGTGTACGTATACGTATACGTATGTTTGCATGTGTACGTACGTATGTCTACGTATCTGTCCCCCTGGCTGAGGAATGGGAAAAGCTCAAGGCCTCCGGCTGCAAATATCCCGAGAAAGTCATGTTGGCTCGCACCAGAGGAGTATTCCAAGGATGCTTCTCCAAATGGGCGAAAGCTCGCCGAGACTACCAGTGGGACGTGCTGGTAACGGCCGCGCCGCAGATCTCTAACAAAGTCACCGAGATCCCCAACAACGTCAAGAAGACCCTCGGCAGCCACTTCAAGCTCAAGCACACGAACTCCAAGTTCAAGCAGGGCGAGGGCCACTATCGACTACCAGATCTGCTGGTGTCTTGCGTGGCAGAGTTGCTGGAGGAGCGCATCACGCTCGGCGAAGAGGTCCCCATAGACTTCGCCGAATCGGTCGTCCTGCAAGTAGTCGATGTATGGAACTCGCAGATTGACGATCTCAAGGCCTTTCGGAAGATTCCACGTACGTATACGTATGTACATGTACAACACGCGTACGTACGTAAAGTGCAGTTTCATACGTAGTACGTACGTATACGTACGTATGCATGTCTTTGTAACCGTGCGACAGAGCTTCCGTGGGGGAGGGTTGAGCATATTCTATCTGCACTGTTTCGGTCGCTTTCGGCCTCTAGAACCTATCTAAGAGTTTCGGGCTTTCGCAGGGAGGCTTTTCGGTTTTTTTTTTTGTGCGGAGGGTTGGGTTTCGGGCTTTCGCACGGAGGGTTTGCGGGGTTTCGTGCGGAGGGTTTCGGGCTTGTGTGGGGAGGGTTTCACGCTTTCGTGGGGGATGGTTTCGGGCTTTCGTGTGGAGGGAGGGTTTCGGGAACATATTCTATCTGCACCGTTTCGGTGACTTTCGGCCTCTAGAACCTATCTACGTACGTAGGAGTTTCGGGCTTTCGTAGGTACGTATACGGAGATGCACCTGATGTGGTTGTGCTGCTGTGGCTAGAATGCGCTTGCTTCCATGAGATGTTTGTTATGTGTGAGGCGAGCCTGCAGCAAGTGGACATGACACCGGAGCAGGCGCAGATGATCAAGGCAGAGGTGAAGCCGGTGAAGATGTCGTCGAACGCGACAGCCCTGAAGCGGCTCTGGCACATATTACGTACGTACGTAATGTATTGTGTGAGGGTTTGTGCACGTATCTGATGATCGTACGTACCTAGATTCGGTTGTCAAGGCTGTGTGTGTCAGTGTCTTGTGTGTGCGTGTGTGTGTG